AGAGGGAAAATTATTTTTCCTCCCCCACATTTGATTGACTTGACCATGACCAGGTAGTTCTACTCTTCTATTCTCCTCCCCAGGGCAAACCAAACAAGAAGAACCTTGTCCTTCTAAGAGTCAAATCAGTTCCATGCTACTTGGTTTGACCTAGGCCTGGGTTATAGAAAAACTGCATCTGTATGACCTTCATCAAAGCACTGGTTCTCAAGGGAGACAAAGAAACCCCTTCAGAGCAACTGGTTGAACATGCAGATTCCTGGGCTCCCCCATTAGGAATGCTGACCTCAAAAGTCTGGGACTCCAGGAATCTGCATGTTTAACAAATGCCCCAGGAGATTCAACCACTCCTGGCAGCCAGATATGATGACTGTTTGACCTTGGCCTGGACTACTATAGGAGTCAGAGACATTCAACAGGACTAAGGATTAATGAAAGAATGAAACTCATATTTGTGGAGTTCCTTCCTCTACAGTGATTTAATGGTGTGGTTTACAAAGTCATTGATGTGTGTCCCTATCTTGCTGTGAGCATTTATTAAAATAGGTTATCTGCTATGGGGCGCCTGGGTGGCTCAGTTAGTTAAGTCGGCTGCCTTTGGCTCAGGTCATGATTCCAGGGTCCTGGGACCCAGCCCCACGTCGGGCTCCCTGCTCAGCGGAGAGCCTGCTTCTCCCTCTCCCTCTGCCTGCCGCTCTGCCTACTTGTGCTCTCTATCTCTCTATCAAATAAATAAATAAAATCTTTAAAAAAATAAGTAATCTGCATTACGCACTTGTTTGGCTCTGTCATGTGTATATTCTTTAGCATTTGGCTCTTCGGTTCTCTCAAAATCTACATTTAGAAATAAAGGGCACTATAAGGAAAATCATTACAAAGAAAGACACCTGCTTGAATCCCTACCAAGAGGAAGAGAAAGAAGAATGGAAAAGAGAAAGGGTCTTGAAAGGAATGTGGCCAGGAGTCCATTACCCGCAAAATACCTGATTAGAGAACCCAGCCAAGGAAATATCCACCAAGAACGAGCCTTTCCCCCTGTGGATCAATTTGATCAATAGTGCAAAATCAATGACAATTACAGGCCCATAATCCTTCACTGGTAATCACCAAATCTAAAAAGCTCTAAAAGCCGGAAGTTAGGTTTTTTTCAAAGCTAATTTGGTAGCAAGTATGACTTGAACTGAGCTGAGACTATTTATGGACTTATTTACTCCACTTATGATGAGTATTCATATGGCTTCCATAAAAAATAATATCTTTTGGGGGCACCTGTGTGGCTCAGTCGGTTGAGCATCTGACTCTTGATTTCAGCTCAGGTCATGATCTCGGGGGTCGTGAGATTGAGCTCCACGTCAGGCTCCTCTGGCTCAGCAGGGAGTGCGCTGGAGATTCTATCTTTCCCTCTACCCTTGCCCCTCCCCCTGCTCATGCTCTCTTTCTCAATCTCTCTCTCTAAAATAAATCAATCTTTAAAAGAATAATAATAATGATGATAATAATAATCTTTTGATTATAGGATGTTACCCCAGATCCCACTGGGAGTATATATAAAATATTCCACATTCACTGTATTACTTTCTGATTTTTTTAAGTAAGCTCTACACCCAACATGGGGCTTGAATTCATAACCACGAGATCAAGAGTCAAGTGCTCTACCAACTGAGCCATCCAGGTGCCCCTGTATTACCTTTCTGAAATCCAAAAATTTCTGACTTCTGAAATACATCTGACCTGAATGGCTTGGGACAAGGACTGTCAATTTGGACTCTCAATCATCCAAACATTAATTTATCCCTACTCCCCACCCCACCCCTCAGGAGCAATCCAAGAAGGAAAGAAACAAAGCTGGTATTCTCTACCGCTGACCCAGCAGTAAAGTTACCTTAAACAAGGGATCAAGTTGGAGGTTGCTCTCAGTTACCCAGCATCAGGCCCCTCAAAGGCTACACTCTCACAAGCTACAGTATACAGAGAGCAGACAGGGGTCCCCAACCACCTTGGAAAGGTCCTCAATATTTCTGGAATCACCTAAGAGCCATGACAGCAGCCTTCCTGAGATTCTGGAATAGCCAAGATACTTCATGCTAACATGCTAAACAAAGAAGCAAAAATACAACACTGAGCCCCACAGTTAATTCTTACTTTTCCCACAGCCAAGGAGAGATGAGCAGATTCTTGGGGCAGATTCCCCTATAACTGCTCCATTTGGCTGGCTCTGATTCATGACAGCCCTATGCCAAAAACCCAGAAACCTACTAAAGGGAGCGAATCCTCCAGCCCCAACCAATGATGGGTCTAATTTCTTTTGAGGCAGCTAATCAATCTAGTTTTGACCCTGAGTTTTCCAACAGTTAGTTTCACGTGGCCAAGCCACTCTAATCAACACTTTGGCCTTTCTCATCTGGCGTGTCTATTCCCATCACCAAGATAGAGGGTATCTTCTTTGAGCAACCTTTAAATCAGATACATGTAGACATATCGAATCAGCAGATCTGAAAAAAGACCTCAAGTTCATCATACTCCATTTCCGGTAAACTCATGGCCTCCCTCAGGAACTTCAAAGATTTATGACATTGAACCTCTCTGCCCTAGCATGCTGGAGCCACATCCATAATCACTGTTAACCAAAGAAGCCATGCGAAAATAACATTTTAATTCAGAGGCCCGACGGCCCCTAGCCTTGGCTTGAACATCCCTGCTTTCTTCCTTGCTGGGATGCCATCCACCTCCAAATTTTGGTAGCATGTTTTAGACCAGCAGATGGAAAGCTAAACCATCCCTTCAGTTGCAAATAGGGTGGGAAGAAAGGACACTTAGAAGTGCAAACAAGGACAGTAGGAAGAGGGGAATGTATCTGAGCATATCCCAGCACCAAGCTGGCGCTTCTGTATTCATGCTGAAATCTGCCCAGTTCAGCACCTGAAGAAAAGTACAAGGACAAGTGGTAACAGAGAGATGTGCTACAAAGCACTTCTACTCTCCAGTCGTTTGGAGAGATGAGCGGGGCCTTGCTATTAAATTCCACTTTGCAGATGAAGGAACCTAAGGGAAAAGGTTCCAACAAGAACCCAGATCCGTTCAACTCCCAGTTCAACACACTTTCCACCTCACACCTGACACGGTCCACACCTCATGATGGCTTCTCTTCTTTAGACTCTAGCCCTGCCCCTTGACCCAATGGCCCCACATCTATACCACCACAGAGCTCACAGGATCTAGTCACTACAATGCAAGACCTCTCCAAACGCAACCAAACTGGCAGCAAATTAAGTTTACAGAGATGGGTTGCAGAGTCTAGCATTCCCTGAAGACGTACTCATCTTAGCTCCAACCCACCTCATTCAAAACCAGGTCTGCTGGGTTCTGATACTCCTCGGATCCTTAAAAATGGAGGGGAAAAAATGCACAGGTTCTGTTCAAAACC